CTCCGGAAAGTTTTATTCTATACGTGCACTTGGCACAAAGACACTACCGGGTATAGAGGATGAAAAAATCACTAATCCTGAGGATCCTGGCAAGGATAATGGGTAAATAATTCTAATTATTGCATTGGCATCGGTCCTTGATAAGTGTGCGAAGTTTCAAATCAATCTGACGTTTTGAAGGGGATGAAAATCACATTCAAAAATTCCGTTACATAGATACATACCAAGCTAATAAAAGTGTGTTAAAAGGAGAGAAAATAACGTGAGAGTTTTTGCGTTATATTTAATATTAGTCTGTAATGGTATTTTTTTTTCTGAGGTCTTTATAGTCATCTAAAATTTATAAGCTTTCTTCTTCTTTTAAAAGAAGCGCTTAACATTGTTTTGGCCTTCCTAAAAATACGCCAGCAGATACGTAATTATTTTCTGCCGACTTCCAAAAAGGAGACGGTACTCAATTCGACTGTGTGTTTTTTTATGTGTCTCATAACTTTTTACTGGGTGAACCGATTTGGATGATTTTTTTTATTTGAAAGCTGGTACTTCTCTTGTGGTTCCATATGAATTTTATCAAGGTTAGACCAATATTTTTTGAGTTATTCTTAATAAGTCATATTGAAGTCGGTTGTACAAAATTTTTAATTTTAAATTATTAAGAGATACCAATACTACACTGGGTGGCGGGGCGGTGAGCGTATTGAAATCGATAATTATTTTTGCACAAATAAATGCTGTATCTGTCGATAGTTATAGGCCCCCCTTCACCAGTTAGAAGAGAGGATTTCGTGTAGGTAGATCAGCATAAAATAGAGAACTTATGACATTACACTTTACATCGCATTCTTTCCTACTTTCTTTCTACTACATCAACGCACAAAAGTCTCCATGTTGACAATCTTCTCCTGGTGTAAGGAGTCGTCACGCTTGGCACGCGGATCGAGGATCGCTGAACCAGACGTTTCGCACCTTTGACTCTGCGGTAAGTCGCCTATCTTTCTATTCAAGGCCTAGAATAACGTGACGTTTACACCATCTATCGGAAGTCATAAGATTTTTAGTATTTCCTATATTCACCTCTTACGACACCCTGTCGAAATGCATGATGGATTCTCTTCAGCCACCATCACGTGATATCTATACATATAAACATATAATGAAACTGTAAATAGCAGATGTCTGTACATTTTATATTTTTGTAATAAAAGTGATTGAGGGGTACTAAAAATAAGTAATTAAATACATTTCTACCATTTTTAGAATTTTCTGTCTGTCTGTCTGTCTGTCTGTTTGTTTGTTAACGTATCACGTATAAAGTACTAATTTATATCATAAGAATTGTTAAGGAAATTATAAAGTGTATCTTCGTGTTACATTTAGTCTTTATTTCATTAAAATCAGTTCATTCCATCAAAAGTTATGATAAATATTCTGAAGTATGGATAGGGAAGTATAGGTACGAATTTGCTCAACGGTGGCTTTGTTTGAGTCATCAAGTGCATTTTAAACTAATATCATATTATCATAAATCATAGTTAAATTATGTAAAATAATGATATAATTATGTATATCTAAAACGCAGTAAACAAAAGTATTAAAGAACGTATTAAATATATTATACAAAAATATATTAACCTTATTAACTAAATTATTAACTAAATCTGAAGCACAATAGTTAACCATTTCTTCGATAGATGGTGATGTTGTGAAAATGTAATGCAATTGCAATGTGGTTTTGTCCTGTAGATGAGTTTTCATATTTACTGCTAATCTTTATTATATTACTCGCTGCCCTACTGCGTGTTGACAAACTCAATTTATTCTTTACCGCCGAGTACTCTATGTGGTAAATCAAATTTTAAAAGAGCTATTAACAATTGCGTTGGTTTTGGCGAGAGTCAAACTTTATTGTTTGCTTACTCTGCAGGCACTGATTTATAAGTTCTCTTACGTTTTATATAATGTATCAATCGCGTCAATTAATCTCTTTTATTTTTAGAATTGACGTTAGCAGCGCCATCTCTCTTTAAATATATACATATAATAAAAATGATGATAACATGTTGTGTCTCTTTCTGTACATTGTATATATATTTTGGTGGCTAAAATCATTATGGGGAACTGAAAATAATTAAATAAGAACATTTTATAATTTTTAGAATTGTCTGTCTGTCTATTTGTCTGTTATTATATGAACGCATCACGTCTAAAGTAAAATTCTTTTATTTTCAAAGAAATCGTTAAGAAAATCATAAAGCGTATCTTCGAGTTACATTTAACCTTTGTTTTATTAAAATTGGTTAATTCTATCGAAAGTAATGATTATTATTTCGAAATGTAGGTTCGAATTTGTTCAATGGCGCCATAAAATCTCAGAAATAGTAATAAAACGATTTGTGTGTAAAAAAAACGTTCCATAATAATTAATATATTTATACTTAAAACACAAAAAGAGATTTAAAAAGGATGTTTTCTCACACAAAAGACGTGATAGATGGAGTTGTACAAATTACAAACTTTACTGAATTGCTGTGTTGAGATTTTTCGCCGATGAATCGTATTGAGACTTACTGAAGAAATTTGTATCCATCGAAGCCATACAACGGAACCCGACCAAAAATAAAAATTTAGCAACGAAATGTCGTGATATTGTATTTATAATATACGCAAAATCAGTACTGCCATTTTAGCGCTTTGGGAACTAGATTTAGCGCTTTTTTGGAATGTATAGCGCGCATTTCGAAATTTTAGCACCTAGCTTAATCCAGCGATTTTTGGTGTATTTAGCACACATTTCAATATTTTAGCGACTAGCGGGTTATTAACTCTTTTATAGCAGCACTGTTAGTCCACAACACCGATAATAATAATAATGACCTTTATTATTTTTTCCCACAAATAGTAATTTGCAGTTTATCATTTTCAAACATATTTTTTCCACAAAACAAAAAGCATGGGAGACGAGTCCAAACTAGGATACCCTGTGCTATGGATCTCCTGGCTTCCCCTTTAGGATGATCAACTTGATTTTTTTACCGACGACTATAAGCGGGGAAATCCCCTTTATTAAAGTTTTCGTTCATGGTTTTGGCAACGCATTTATTTTGCTTTATTCAGTTTCAGTCAGTTGCTTAGAGCACAGCTAAGTTAAAAGTTACTTAGAAGTTATAACACAAAGAAACTGTGTAGCAACCGCAATCAGATGCTGACATCTGAAACTAAGTTGCGAAATACATTGCACTTTAAAACAATTAATGACATTTTTATTGTTCGTACAGTACTAACTACTGTTGACAGCAATTGCCATAATTATAAGTCGATGTCCTGCGAAGTATTGATACATCAAAAAAATATTGCAAGAAAAAAAACTTAATGTTGTTTTCTTTATTATGATTATATAAAAAAACACAAACTTTGTTTGTAGTTAATTTAGCGCGAAATCTAGGGCTTTTTTAAAGCGCTGTTTTCATGAAATCTAGCGCTTTTTGTGTTGTCCTAGAGCTGAATGAGTTTTTTTTTATCTGGCAGCACTGCCCAAAAACCCTCTATTAAGAAGTAACTTTCCTTTCAGTTTTAAGCGCGTTCAGTACCCAGTTACAGTGAGCGTGTGTTATGCGATGACCGTAAATAAAGCGCAAGGTCAAACTTTACGCGTTGTAGGAGTGTACCTCAGTACTGACTGTTTTGCACATGGCCAACTCTATGTTGCTTTTTCCCGCGTTAGTAGCCCCCGTAACCTTTTTGTGTACACCCCGGCTAAGCCTACTTCTAACGTCGTTTACACAGAAGCCCTATCATAAAAGACTTAGAACTTTGATGATAATGATTTATTTAGTTACCACTTATTGATACAGTAATGAAATAAATCGTTTAATATTCTCTTACCTAAACGACAAATTCTTTATGTAAAACCTGTATACGCGAGCTACGCCGCGGGCACAGCTAGTGGTTAATAAATCTCACCCGACACGCACAAGCTGATTACCGTCAGCCCGAGATTCGACATCAATTTGCGAATGATGCGGACGTCGATGCGGTATCATCATATACTGATCGGAGCCCCTGCTCGCAAATATTAAATTTTCAGCAACTCCTCCCATTAACGCTCTTGATCCACGTACAAGCACACGGCGGGGAGCCTAAAACGGCGATTAAATTTTTGCTAAATTATGCTGAAAGGTGTAAATAACTTCTAGAAATAAATATTTTTTATGAATATGTCGTGGATTGATGGCGCCTAATGCAACAAGCAGCGCCATCTAACAATTAGCTTTGCGAATCAATAATATCTTTACCGGAAACGCAAGCGCGCCCTACCGCTTGGACACGATCGTTAGTAGAGGGCATGCAGCGAGGGCTAGAGAAGGGCCGAGTGTTGTGGCAGTCGATATTTTTTTGCGCCCAGAAGCAATGAAAAAGCCTACCCTTCGGTAAGCGGGGGAGGGAGGTGGTGAATGCTCAAAGCATACCTGCGCCCCCTTTAGGGAAAAGGGGGCGCAGGTGGCAGTTGAGCACAGAGTACATTATATATAGGGCGCAGTCGATGTCCTATATAGTATATTATCTATGGCAGATGGCAGTCGATTTCGGACAGCCGGAGCAGACGTTCGCTACCGACGCATGTGTTTCTTTCTCGTGTACAACCACTAGTCTGAATAAAGTTATTTTGATTTAAATCATCTTTTGTTCGAGTGCCCACATTTACGTAAAACCATGTCGTAGCGTGAAGAAAACCCGATGCTTCGGATCTCGGCCACCCTTGATACGACAAATATATAAGTAATGCAATGTACAGAAATGATCTACTCTAATTTGTACCCGTGAATTTTGTTCACTAGTTTGATAGGTATTCTATACTTATTATTAGCCACAGCGCAGAAAACTTAGGAGTACGGAGTAACGTGGTGATTTCACAGAATTATTTAGTAATAGTTCTATGGGTGATTTCAATCTAACGAAATAATCTATTTCCGACTTATTTCAAAATCTTTTACATATTTTAATTATTTTTTTACCTCTTGCTGTGATATATTTATTGCAGGTGAGGCTGATGAAATACTTTCTTCCTTCTTTGGGTCATTTACAGTGATAACATCTTCACTGGATACAACCAAGTATTCTCCAAATTTGTCTAAAATTTATGGAAAATTTGTCATGTTTCAAATCTGTTTAAGAGTTAGAGTTATAACTTCAAAGTAGCACGTTATTAACTATTTGCGGAAAAAGGAGGACGATCTTATCAGCATATGATATTATTCCACCAGAGTTAAGTTCAAGATTGCAGAGGTCACTGATATAATATATTAAAAATACGGTGACCCAATTACACTACCTCGAGGCACCCCAAAACTGAGTATTTTTTTTGTTCTGAGCTAATGGCCTTATCGATGCTTAACACTGGCATCGGTTTTTAAATAGTTAGTAAAAAGCTAAAGCTGTCTACCTCGATTACCTATTTTATATTAGGTTCTCTAGTTAATTTAACAGAATGGTAATAGAAACTGTAACTATTTCCTAGATCAAGGAAATTGCCAATTGATTGATTGCCTTTATCTAGTTCTTGAAAGTTCTAGGTATATTGCATATTCCAAAATATAGATTTGATCATCATCAACATCATTACAGGCCTTCACAAGTCCAACGCTGGACATAGGCCTCCCCGAAGGAATGTCACTAAGCACGATCCTGAGCCATCTGCATCCATCGACTTCCTGCATATCTTACCAGGTCATCACCCTATCTAGTGGGTTGCTCTAAACTTCGCATATGGATATTATTCTGATATGAATTTATCCTGTATATAATTAATTAACCTATTGTTAACTAATATTTTTTAAAGTTTTAGATGTAGATGAGAGTATTGATGAGAAAAGTCGATAATTGGAAACAACTTTTATGACGCTGTATTTACATATGTACAGGAACTACAAATGCAGCTAGACAATCTGGGAAAATTCATTCAGAGGCAAATTCGAAAAATATGATTTAACGTTAACAGCTATATTAAAGGTATAGTTGTAGCACGTTTGGGTTGGCTCGACCGGGGAAGGACCACGCCCTCACAGAAAACCAGCGTAAAATAGCAGCTTAACGCTGCTGTGTTTTGTATGGTGAGTGTAGAGAACCGGAGACCCTTTTTACTGGAAACGAGGCATTCCATCTTAGTCCTCACGGTTGACAACTCATCTGCATTTTGATTCGTAATGTAAGATGTCTATGGGTCACAGCCACCACTTACCATCAGGTGGACTGTGTACTCGTTTGTCACTCTTATCTTATAAAGAAAATGTCAGTACCAGAATTTATCTAAATTTCCTTAGTACAACACTAGTGGGAATGTCGTGTCATCCAACTGCACGGGGTTCTTCCTACCTCAATAGTGTCCGTATCTAATAAGACGAACGAACTTATTGGGTGTTTCTTTGAGTTGACAAGATGGTCCTGTTAACCTGTTATCATGTATATTGTCACAATTGTTTATTATTTACTCAGCAAGAATTTTAGCGACGTTAACAAAGTAACTATTTGCAGTATTTCCTGACATTTATTTCCACACAGCTTGAATGCAAATATAATACATGCTGCCAAAGTGCAATGGCAGCCCATATTTCTTCTAAAGTTCATAGATGCGTTGTTACCATTGAGGGCTAAGATTAATCCGTGGTAATCCACATAGCCTGTATTTATACTGGTGAAAAGCGGCATTAGAAATTGGTAACATTGTGGCTGCTTAGTAGTAAAAATATTTAACAGGGAAACAAGGAACACAAAAGATGATATTGATATCGAAACAAGATAAAGTGTGTCTAAACAAAAAATTGTCAAATATTTTGACCATAGTTATACTAGTGAAAAATAGTATTAGAAATTGGTAACATTGTGGCTGTTTAGTAGTAAAAATATGTAACAGGGCAACAAGGAAAACAAAAGATGCTATTGATATCGATACAAGATAAAGTGCGTTTAAACAAAAAAAATGTCAAATATTTAGACCATAGTTATAATAGTGAAAAATGGCATTAAAATTGGAAACATTGTGCCAGTTTGGTAGTAAAAATATGTAACAGGACAACAATGAACACAAAAGATACTATTGATATCGAGACAAGATATAGTGTGTCTAATAAAATATTTAGTCAAATATTTATACTAGTGTAAGACTTACCAATTATTGACTCCGCATCGTTTCTCTGATCGTTTAAGTTTGTGTCACGTATAGGCACAAGTAAACATAGCCTAGCTTTAGGTAAATAGAATTCATCCCGTGACACCCATTTTGCAGGTCGATATCGTATACTCATATCTTCATTATTCCATTCGGGATGTAGAGTACTGACGCTAAAATTGAGCACTTTTAATGCAAAATTAGGGTAAAAACATATTAGGAGTTTCATCTAATATATAAAAATTAATTTTTGTTCGTTCATATTGTATGCACTGCCTACCGCTCATCAGATTGCGGTAAAACTTTGTCAACTTATTGCTTGCACTTCCGCAAAGGTTACAGGCATAGTACAATTAACTTACAGTAGGTTTTTTTTTATAGGATCGAGTGACAAACGAGCACACAGTCCACCTGATGGTAAGTGGTTGCTGTGGCCCATAGACATCTACATTTATCTTCGTTTGCGAATCAAAACGCAGATGCGTTGTCACTCGTGAGGACTAAGATGGAATGCCTCTTTTCCAGTAAAAAGGGTCTCCGGTTCTCTACACTCACCATACGAAACACAGCAGTGTTAAACTGCTATTTGACGCTGGTATTCAGGTGGCGCGCGATTCGTAACAACGAATTTATTTGAAAATTATGTGGGTTACATTCAATTTTATGTTCGATATAATGCATTCTAATATGGAAATTTAAATTCTAATTAACGTCATACTAAAGTTATGACATTATATACATATTATAGGTACTTGTAATATGATCTATGTTTCTTATTTTTGTTTTCCCGCCTGTACGATAATCATAAGATGATGAATAAACTTGCCCACAATAACATTCATATATTCACAAACTGCAAATGAAACCTTGTAATCGCAAAAAATATTTTTACTTGATATAACTTCAAATTAAAGATTTTTGGATCTTTACTTGTCTACTTGAGTTATGAGACTTTCCATTTTGCTATACAGGATGCCCTATAGGTTTTGATGAGAGTGTTTGCGAGGATGAAAATATGTGACATATTTTTTTTTATAGGATATGGGTGACAAGCGAGCACACTGTCCACCTGATGGTAAGTGGTTGCTACGGCCCACGGACATCTATCCTCTATTACAAATCAAAATGCAGATGCGTTGTCATCCGTGAGGACTAAGAGGGAATGCCTCATTTCCAGTAAAAAGAGTCTCCGGTTCTCCACACTCACTATACGAAACACAGCAGCGTTAAGCTGCTATTTTACGCTGGTATGCTGTGAGAGCGCTGTCCTTCCGCGGTCGAGCCGACCCATTCGTGCTACAATTATACTACTAATATAGCTGCAGCATGGCTCTACCGCCGTAAGAGAGTGAAACCGTATCTTTTGATTGTGTTGGAAGCTTGAATGTTTTACACCTCCAAGGGACTGTAGACCTTTGTATTACATGTTGATTTCATCTAGATATCGCTTCCCCCTTGTGAAAGAGGGTTTTGATGGATGGACATATGGGCGGACGGAGGAACGGAACTCTAAAATAAGCTTTATGATAAGTCTTTCACTGTGCAAATTGGTAGGCCGTTTATTCCCGTACTCTGCTGATAACAAAAGAAACTAAAGACTAACTTAAAAACACACAAGCTCATACCTAGCTATCTCGGCTTTTGTGATATCATTCCATATAGTTTTTCCCTCCGGTGTACTCAATTTTTCATACAATTGAACATGAACTGTATACCACAAATCAGGACTTCCAATCTCATAGACAGCGAAATGTTTTTCATTCTCCTTTATATCTAAATATTCGGACGTCGTTTCTTCTTCCTTTTCGATTTGATTTGCTTTAGAAATGATTCGATGCAACGTGCCCGCTGGATGCTGGGTTTGCACTTTGTAAGGATCGAAAAGTTCCACATTTAGCTTTTTATTAAAATCGCCTTCTTTTAAATAATTATTAACGTATTTTTTATCGTCAAATCTTGAGGGGCCGTAATCAAAACCTGTACGTTTTTCATTAAAGCCATGCCTGTTGTTTTCTTTTTTGTTCGAAGAGTCATGCTTCCGTCCTTTGTTAAAAATATCTCTAACTTCTCTGTCTTGTACATAAAGTCGGTGACGTTTGTGAGGGGAAACATATTCTTTATTAAAATATTCTAATTCACTCATTTTATTTTGCCGTCTTACACGTTTAGTTAAAGTTGCATTATTTCCTCGACAAACAAATGCGTTCCCTGTAATAAATTAGTTTTAAGATCAATGTTAATTTATGGATGCTAAGTAGGTTCGACTTCCGTTCAAGATAATATTTAAACATATACGGAGACATCTACTAATGTTGATGTCTTGAATACTCGCCCAATAAGAGAATTTCTAGATCGGGAATACCCCGACAGGTGGATGGTGCGGTCTGAGGCAATTTCGTGACAGTTTCGCAATTTATCCTGACTTATATATTCTCTATAATTCTTTTACTGGAGAGCGGTAAAAGAAAAAGTATACTCCAAACTAATCCAAAACATAACCGAGCTACACCAAAGCATTAGTTAAGCCGTTAGAGAAATCAACTCTGGAAGATACACCCGTCTAATAAACCGCTTGTTAATGAAAATGTACGGCTTGTGTTGTAGCTGGTTGTAGGTGAAGGCTAACGATTTGAACCTCTCTACATAATATAAAACAGTCGCTTCCCGCCGTCTGTACGCTTAGATCTTTTAAACTGCGCAAGGGATTTTGATGCGGTTGACCGTCAATAGACAGAATGATTCAAGTGAAAGGTTTATGTGTATAATACATTATTATTATATATTATAATAATTATTCTGTCCGTATGTATGTGACTGAACTCCTCTCAAACGGCTGGACCAATGTTGATGAATATTTGTAGAAGATTCACAATTGGGCCTGGTAGGTGGCGTTGTTGTCAAGATCCAGAAATCAACTGTGCGAAGCCGGGGCGAGTCGCTATAGTTTGTTATAAGTTAAATAAACCGTTGATTCCATACGGAATTAGTGTCTTGGCTTGACGTTGATTGATTAATAGAAACGTATAGAGGGGACGCGCTACAGCTTGCCTTTGTTTTTATTGATAGGAACAGTGTTTAATGGTTTTTGTGACGTGTAATGAAAACTAAATTAACAAAGCAAAGCTCACCTTTTGAAAAGTAATGGCAACTTTTTGGTATTTTTCTGATTTGGTCACTTCTTGATGTAATCTTTATATATAAAAATTATGTGTCACATTGTTTGTCCGCGATGAACTCCTAAACTATTGAACTGATTTCAATGAAATTTTGTACACTGTGTGTAGTTTGGTCGAACTTGAGAGATAGGATAATTTTAATCCCGATAAGTGACTTTCAATATTTTTTTATTGCTAATTTAAGGATTTTTTCATAAGAAGGGTCGTCGGAAAGAGCAGAACAACGTCTGCCTGGCCAGCTAGTTTACTATAGATTTTTTAATTCCAGTGTATCAATAACAAGGAAACTCTATTGTGAAGAACTTCGAACAATGATGGCAAAACTTTCAGAGAAAATACCCCAATTCGTTAATCTATGTCATTAATGCTCCATAATAATAAAACGCAATACCTCACACTACTCGAAAATCCACGTCATAATCACAAGACCTGTAGTTAGAATCCATATACTTTAAACTTTATTACCTACTTCCTCGACTGCATTTGTATGCTGATGACCTTCAGCTTTATGTGCAAGATGAAATTGGGGATATTCATAATGGGATTAAAAACCTTAACGACAACGTATCAGTTATCAAAGATTGGTCTACTTGTTATGGAGTTTTGGTCAATCCCTTGAAATGCCAAGCTATACTGGTGAGTAGCTCAAGGATGCTGGCTAAGATTAATCTCGCAGAATTACCCCCTATTTATTATGATAGTATTATAATACCGTTCAATAATTCTGTTAAAAATCTTGGCCTACACGTCGACAGCACTCTGAATCGAAGAACTCAGGTTTCAGAAGTGAGTCGTAGTTATTGCCACGTTATGCTCTCTGTATCGTTTAAAACATTTTCTTCCCTTAAAATCTACGATCACGCTTGTCCAATCGCTCATATTACCTATAATTGATTATGCAGATGTGTGTTACCCGGATCTGCCCCAAGATCTTCTGAACAAGCTGGAACGCCTTCTCAATAACTGTATAAGATTTATTTTCGGGCCTCGTAAGTATGACCATATTTCGCAATATACCTAGATTTAAGCTAAATTGGCTTACAATCCGCCAGAGGCGCAATTTCAGAATATTGCTTGTTCTTTTTTCCATATTAAATTACTCATCATCGCCTTCTTATCTTATGAGTAAATTTCAACTATCTCTCCTCATCTCATGATAGGGCCCTACGTTCTTCTTCTAACAACAAACTCTGTATTCCTGTTCACTTCACCGAGTTCTATGGTAACTCCTTCACAATTCAGGCTACACACCTTTGGAACTCCTTGCCCGATGACATGTGAAAAGTACTCGATAAGTACGCTTTTAATATGTTGGTCCGTAATCATCTACTGAGGACAACACATTTTATATGATTCATCAATTTAACATTATGTATTGCTAAACAGACGCATATATTCATAGTAATTTGTATGTACTAATTATATATGTATTTAAATATGTATATTTGCATGTATATGCATGTATTTATATATTTGTGTATATGTATGTATAGGTCGTATATGTATAGTTTATTTATTAGTAAAATGTATATATTATGTAGTTAATTATTATTTTTGTTTTGCGTTCTTTTATCTATATTGCCACACCACTACGTCGAATTCCCACCACTCCATGGGTTGATTGGTAGAGAATGCCTCAAGCCATTTAGACCGCCCTTTGTAGGAATCCTTTTGTTTTAAGGAATGCAATAAAGAATAAATAAATAAATAAATCCATACGTCATCCTCCTAACTCTTCATAGCCGTTTTGTATCAACAATTTTTCACAACCGCTTACTTTAGTAGTGTATAATATAGAACAATAGACTTTGTAGAATTCAGAGTTCAGAGTTCTATCGCAAAGGCATAAATGTTCCTCACCTCGAGATTGTAGAAATGTATGGATAATGAAGGTAAATATTTCGATTAAATAAATACATTTTTTGCTTTAAGAAAAAATATGTTTGAACTTTTCAATATAGGTAAAACAACAATTTCATACGTTAAACATTAATCTTTGCAAAAAAAAGTAAATTATCTTTGCAGTAATACATAATATAATAATATTATCTAATTTGTGTGTAAAACGTTTCACGTCTTTTAAATATTTTTGAATTTCTTAGACATGCAATACTTAAAATGTTATCCTTCCTTCGCAGCCCAGCACGCTATTCCGGTGGGTGGGCTTTTAGGATAAGGGCACCACTCAGTTGGCTCGTCTAGTATGAAATGTTAAGGCAAAAAAATGCTTATATCCTGAACTATCGCGGCTCTATAAACGGAATAAACTTAATTCAGAAACAAGTTTTAAATTTTTTTGCTTTGTTAAATTGTATTGCATCGAATCGAATAAAACTTCAGAAGCAGTTGGTGATATTAAAGTAGCATATGGGTGCAAGTCGTATTGTAAATTGTAAATGAACATTACCCAGTCCCAGGTAACTTGGAAATGCTTGATAAAACCGGTTTGAGAACGGAGCGTCGCATCGTCGCGCAGTAATACAAGTATACGGGGGAAGGGAGCGGAGTGAACGAACACGCGCGAGGAGAAGCGAGGCTGTGCGAGGCCGGTTACCCCTTGTCAGAATTCAGTAAGTAGAACGAGCCGTCAATGTAAGCTAGCGTAACAAACTAACGTTTTAATAATTAAGTGCAACAATGGAAGCTTTTATAGAAGGCGTCCGTCTACATCCATGTCTTTGGAACCCATTACACCCAGATTATCGCGAAATGCACGTAAAAGACAATGCATGGCGGCGCGTAGTGGAACATTTCAACAACAAGTCCATTCCAAATAGTAAGTGAGCGTTGAATATTTTTTGTAGCATAGAATTTACTCTTAGGAATAATCTTAGAGCATCCATCCGCTTAAAATATGAAAATGGAAAGAACACTACGAAATATGGTTACTTTTTGTTACTTTATTATTAGTTTAATATGTGCATTATTGATGTTGATGTGTGCATACATTAACATCAATGATGCACATACACCGAGTAATCAATTATTAGGGTAACCAGATTAAAATGTTAAATTATGGGATAGCTTATAAGGTTACCTTATTTTATACTGAATAAAATTAATATATAAATCAAAGAGTTAATAGACATATGTTTAAAAACTATCTTTACTAACTGTATTAGACAGTTAGTAAAGATTAGTTTATACTAACTGTATTAGATAGTAAAGATAGTTTAAATGATAAAAACTAATAGATAAAGATAGTTGGGTTCGAATTAAACATTTTTACTACGGGTGCATTATTTGATGGTAAAATATGCTGTGAATACATTTGAATATTTTTTACTTGCGTACGCGATTTATTAGTATATAAATTATATTATATCATATAATCTGTTAGTTATTTATTTTCAATATTTAAGTAAATAAATTTAATATTTTAGTTAAAAAATAACAGCCGCGTTCTTGGTGCTATTTAAATCAATATAGTCTTGACTCTATGTATGTTAGACGATCACGTAGCTTAGTGGCCAGAATACCTGACAAATGTACAAATGTGTAGTGTGAAGTGATAAATTCTCAGGTGAAATTTTAGACGAAGCTAACTTTCAAACAGAAACAATTTGTTAGTTTTCTGGTTTGGAGATTTTAGAACAGGAGAGTTGTCCTCACGTATCATCAGTGGTAATTAAACAAAAGAGTGACTTTCAATAAGTATTATTTGTAATCTATATTGAATAAAAAAAGTCTCTGTTTCTATTTCTATCGGCTTTTATCAACACATTCGATATCATAACATAGGTGAGAGTGGAGTATGCTAAGTAGTGAGTGTATACTAACAAATAAGTTTTTCGATATTTGAAAGTAGACCCGATATGTCTCTCGTACATGCTTACTTACCTAAAGAACATTACTCATTATATAAAATCCTTTAGGAAAGGAATAACTTGTGAGTCTTTTTTCAGTTCAAGCCGCTAAAACGGAATGGAAAAAACTTCGTGACAACCACCGAGATGCACTAAAGCGAGCCAAATTAGGCAAAAATAAATTACTGCCTGCCCAAATCACAACTTGGAAATATGCTAAGGCAATGCAATTTCTTGAACCGCATATGAAATACAGAATAACAGAGAACATAGAAATAGACATGCCTACTTGTAGCCCTAAAGATTCCGAACAGGATAATTCGGCATCAGATACTGCCGAAAATATAAATACGTGGAGCCATGTAAATAAACGTCAATGTATAGAAAAAGTAAATGATTCTCAGCAAGAAACAGATGCATTAGAGTCATTTTTCAATTGCATCTTAAAAAGCACAAAAACTATGCCCTACTGGATGCAAACACAAGTGAAGAAAAAGATATTTGCAGTTATAATTGAAGCCGAGGAATTGCTTGCAAATCAAAATTATCGAAACGCAATAAACGACGGTGTCAAAATTTTAAATGACCAATTCAAAAGTGACGATACTCCTGAGACTAAAATAAAAACAGAAATCTTCACTGAAGACAACCCCGACTACGAGTAGGTTTTAATATTGTGAAAAAATATTGTATTTTTGTGATACTTTAGCGGTTGGCAAACTGCAACGCAGTACTGGTGATGTCCAGTGTTCTTTATTCTAAAAAGGAAATTGTTAGAAGAGGAAAAACTAGAATTTTTATAAAACCGCCTAATTCTCCAAATAGTCGGAATATACTTCATCGGAAGCAAGATAGATCTAGGTACTACTCACTCTGAATATAACAATACCTTTCAACTTTATTACCAAGCTCGAAGGATTAAATAAGTTCTTTAAATAAATTATTGACATTCGTTCCAGTGATTGAAGCCACATAGACTATTATTCATTTACTATCGTACGTCAAAATAATGATGTTGGTGTAAATAAACGCTTAATAAGCATTTTATAAATGTTGAACAGTAAATATTGTAAATATTAATTATAATTAGTTATAATAATAAAACCTTTATAAAAACAAAATTATTTTTATAATATTACCATCAAAATATGAAGATGCGTTTGACATATCTCTACCAGCATTATTGTCTTGAATGAAATAAGTTTCAAGACCACGTTTTCTACGCTCCAGCATCTGCAAAGGTACAATATTGTAATCGTCAGTATTAGACGTCAAAGTTTTTGACGTGCGTCGCATACGACTCTGTACAAAAATATAATAGCTATTGGGTCATTTAGCATACCAATTCTATTACATTATCATTTTTTGCAATTCTTAGGTCGGCTTATGGGTAACGTTCTTAGTTGTTACAGTTATGTTATTATAGGAGCTGGATAAAGATTTGCATTGTTAAATTATTTGTATAAGTTACGGTTTTAGGTTGTTTCAAATATAGTATTAGTTTTTTTTTTTTAGGTAAATGGTCGCTATGCCTCGTAGACATCTGCTTATATCCTCGTTTACGAATCATAATGCAGATGGGTTGTCCCCCGTGAGGACTTAGATGGAATGCCTCATTTCAAGTAAAAAGGGTCTCCGGTTTTCTACACTCACCAAATGAAACAACACAGCAGCGTTAAGCTGCTATTTTACGCTGATATTCTGTGAGTGCATAGTCCTTCCCCGGTCGAGCCGACCCATTTCTAATATAGTTGCAGCATAGCTCTACCACCTAAAAAAGTTGTGGATATTTTCATTTTAAATTAGTTGATCTATACATATAAATATATTGAAGTGTCTGTCTGTAACATTGCAATAACTGGCATCTATTAAGCTAAGGGGTTCTTTGATTAATTTACATCTCATCATCATCATCATCATTACAGCCTTTCATAAGTCCACTGCTGAACATAGGCCTCCCCCAAGGAATGCCACAAAGCACGGTCCTGAGCCACCTGCATCCATCGACTTCCTGCATGTCTTACCAGGTCGTCACTCCATCTCGTGGGGGGTCGCCCTGCACTTCGCCTACCGGTACGAGGCTGCCACTCGAGAACCTTTCTTCCCCATCTGTTGTCGGTTCTTCGAGCTATATGGCCGGCCCACTGCCACTTCAGCTTACTAATCCATTGGGTTATGTCGGTTACTTTGGTTCTACTGCGGATATCCTCATTCCTAAGTTTATCACGCAGAGAAACTCCGAGCATAGCCCTCTCCATAACTCGCTGAGCGACCTTGAGCTTCCTCATACGGCCAGCAGTGAAGGACCACGTCTCAGTTCCGTAAGTCATCACTGGCAACACGCACTGGTTGTACAATTTCGTTTTAAGGTTTTGAGGTATGTCTGACGAGAAGATGTGTCGTAGCTTCCCGAACGCTGCCCAGCCGAGTTGAATTAGTCGATTGACCTCTCCATCGAAGTTGGACTTACCTAGTCGGACTATTTGTCCCAGGTAAACATACTCGTCAACAACTTCGAGCTTAGTGTTCCCAACAACTACCGGCATAGGTGTGACATGGACATTAAACATAATCTTTGTTTTGTCCATGTTCATCTTAAGATCTATCCGTTGGGAGATACTATTGAGGTCATTGAGCATAGTGCTTAGGTCCTCCAGCGATTCTGCCATAAGGACTATATCGCGGGCAAATCGAAGGTGAGTGATGTACTCGCCATTGATGTTAATACCGTATCCTTTCCAGTCCAGAAGCTTGAAAACGTCTTCCAATGCAGCGGTGAAGAGTTTCGGGGATATAACATCACCCTGTCTTACACCTCTCTGCAATTGAATAGGTTTCGTACTCTGGTTCTGTACTCGGATAGCCATCGTAGCTCTATACTGTACAAACACTTCAGCACTTCGATATACCGACAGTCAACTTGGCACCGCTGAAGGGAATTTACATCTAAATAACGCCATATTAATAGGCCCAATCCAGACGAAGAAATATTTATAAATGATATAATTTTAAAAGCTAGTTAAATTAGAAAATAACAGTGAAGTACTTTCGTACCGTAGTTGGTACTTTTATAGAATGAGAAAATAATCACAAGCTGTAAGAATTCCTATATCGTGTGAGTCGTGAAGCATCTAAGTACCTTATTTTGGTATAATTATTCTTTTTTTATTAAAAAATTATATTCGAAACTATCTGTTGCATTTATTCGAAGTCCGTTACGTTACGGTTAGGAATTTTATAATATTCGGCTATACCAGTTACGATTAAAAATTAAAAATTAAAAATCCATTTATTTCTTTCTCAAGGCATACTAAATAATAAAGTAATTGGAGCCTCCTAGTAAGTATAAAAAAATACCTGTCTCAGGAGGCACCGCTCTTCCTAATAACATTAAATATTGAGATAAGCCGAGCAAGATTACCTATGATTAAGAGTAGGTGTGTTTGTGTTTGTGTGTGTGTGTGTATGTGTGTGTGTGTGTGTGTGTGTGTGTGTGTGTGTGTGTGTGTGTGTGTGTGTGTGTGTGTGTGTGTGTGTGTGAGTATGTGTGTGTGTGTGTGTGTGTGTGTGATTGTAGGTGCTTAAAAGTGTAAGCATTTTTATTCTTATTATTTTATGTAAATTTATTTAATTCTATTCTATTCTGATAAACAAATATATTAATTAATTCCGTGACGTAGAATGTTTTCTGTGGTGTGATAAGATAATTACGATATTATATAACATTGCTATGTATAGTATATATGTACATTCATGAATAAAATGACTTAATTTTTACATATTTTCCTTTTTGAGAATACTTTTTTTTTATATAGGATAAGGGTGACAAACGAGCACACAGTCCACCTGATAGTAAGTGGTTGCTGCGGCCCATAGACATCTACATCTATCCTCTATTACAAATCAAAATGTAGATGCGTTGTCACCCGTGAGGACTAAGATGGAATGCCTCATTTCCAGTAAAAAGGGCCTCCGGCCACCTGCACTCACCAAGCGAAACGCAGAGGTAAACCTCTACTTCACGCTGGTTTTCTGTGAGGTCGTGGTACCACCCCGGTTCGAGCCGGCCCAACCGTGCGACAGCAAAAGCTGTCGCGTGGCTCTACCATTGTTAATAGTGGTAGAGCCACTATTAACAGTGTGCGTTTTATAACAAGTTGTTATAAAACGCACAAAACAATACAAGCAGATTTTAAATAAATTATTACAAACTTCCTAAACATGTTGAAAATAGCATTAAACGGATATCTTGGTAATAATAATTAAAGTTGATCATCTTTTCCTAACTGATTATAGATTATTTTTTCATGTAAAATATTTAATACTACGTACATTTTTGTTTATTTCTTGAAACGCATGGTCATCTGAGTTTGTTAAAATACCGCTTACTGTCTGAAATAAAATAATTCTTAGGTAGAAATATAATGAATATCATATTAGCTTCTAGAATATGGAGAATGTATGCATTATAGGGCAAACAATAGAAAGTTCACATTTCCGGAAGTTGAAGTTCCGGAAATCAGAACAAGTAAATGGTTTGAGAGTTTAACAATGACGTACATAAAGTTCGATTCTTGCTCTTTTTAAAAGCATGCGTGTGGGTACTTATGCCTTATGCGTATGCATGCATGTTTATGCGCCAGCCAGTGGTTTAATATTGGCGAGTTACCCTTAAATCATACCCATAGAGCCCTCAGATGGTTAGCGTTCGCTGTAAGTTTCACAGTACACGAGCAACCAGGGTTGCACCAATGAAATTGTTAATTGGAATTTTAAGTGCTGATTTACCACGTGCTCGGCGATTAAGGAAAACGTCGTGAAGAAACCTGCATATGTCTGAGAAATAAGAAAAAAAATTCGAACACATGTTAAGTTCGGCAACACGCATTGGGGCAGCGCGGCGGACATTTCCTTGCCCTAAAACCCTCTCAGAAATGAGAGAAGGCCTGTGTCCTGCAGTGGGCTGTAACATTAACTTTAACATTTTTAGATCATAATGATATCTTATATTTACGCGAATACTACACAGGGAATATAACTAATTTTGCAGTTTTTATTGCGTTTAATTTTATTTATTTTAATTCCCGACGACTTGGATCATATTTTTACGATCTGAGGGCTTACTACTTATAATCGCAGCAAGCAAAAGCGGCCTCCTCCGTACACAGTTTTAATAATTTCCCTGTCCGTGAAAAATACACAATAGTTGCAATCGAAATGTTCATAAATGACTCACGGAACAGTCAAATGATTAAAAGATTATAAGCTTGTAAATATTTGCAATAAAGAAAACTTGTATTTAATTTTTTTTATAGAATAAGGGTGACAAGCGAGCACACAGTCCACAGTAGTTGCTGTGGCCCATAGACATCTACATCTATCTTCGTTTGCGAATTAAAATGCAGATGCGATGTCAGCCGTGAGGACTAAGATAGAATGCCTCTTTTCCAGTAAAAGGGTCTCCGGTTCTTTACACTCACCATACGAAACACAGCAGCATTAAGCTGCTATTTTACGCTGGTATTCTGTGAGAGCGTGGTCCTTCCCCGGTCGAGCCGACCCATTCGTGCTACAACTATACCTACTATTAATATAGCTGCAGCGTGGCTCTACCACGTACAAAATTATAATTCAAATCTATCCTCGATTTTGTCTGTTAATGTCATTTTATATAAACTATGTATTTAAAAATTTACATCAATCCTTCGGATTTTGTACGCTTGTAGAGGCTCTTCCCGACGAAGCCGCAGAACAAAAGGGTCAAGAAGCCGAACTCGCTTCTTCTTGGACCCATCGAAAACGTGTTCAATTGGAATGTATTCATCGCCTGAGCTTTTCTGTAACATAATATAATATATGTATTTATAAGAAATATAATAAAATAGCCAATCTTAAAACCGGCGATATGGACACTGACCACAAGAAAAGGTTATCACGTGTTGAGTGTTAGGTATACTCTAAATACTTTTAATATGCTCGTGATAAAAATTACTATCGCAAGCGCCACTTTTGACCATAGAAAGGTTTTTAATCACAAACACATTTCAAGCAAGATTCAAGTTTTTAATCTTGACAGGTGCAGTAAGTAGTTAATAATATATTATATTATTATTAAACGTGCTGTTTTCGAAAGTCATCAGGAAACCTCTTATACGACTTGACGACTTCCAGTCTTCCAAATAAACCGGTTTTCAAAAAGGCTTTAGTACCAAAGACCTCATACATACCCCTCGCGCAAATTGTACAGAAGACTGAAGTTGGTATGGTTGCTATAGTCCCTTCAGTGGTCTAAATCGCTTGTCTGTTTATCGAAGTCGAAGTGTGAAGTGTTTTTAGTAGAGCTACGATGGCTATTCGTGTACAGAATCAGAGTACGAAACCTGTCCAACTGCAGAGAGGTAAAATACAGGTTGACGTCCTTTCCCCGAAAATCTTCATGGCTGCATAGATGCAATAGGGTTCCGAAACGGATAGGTCTTAAAATTAACATGGACAATACAAAGGTCATGAGTAACGTCCATGTCACACGGCGTAGGTGTCACTGTGTGTAATAAGTGTAACCGTAGACCCTTTTTACTGGATACGAGGCATTCCATCTCAGTCCTCAGGGGTGACAATGCATCTGCATTTTATTTCTTGATTGAGGATAAATGTAGATATCAATGGGCCACAGCGTCCACTTATGTACCATCAGGTGGAATGTGTGCTCGTTTGTTACCCTTTTTCTATGAAAAAAATGCCGATAGTTGTTGGGAGTACTGCGCTCGACTTTATTGTACAGTATGTTCACCTAGGACGAGGAGAGAGTCGAAATAGACTTCGTAATAGTGTTGCAGTGATGAAGATATGAAAAAAAAAATATATGAAATGTCAAAGCAAAAATATTTTTATGTAGTAACAGCTTACAGATATACTTATTTATTTTTGCTGTCAAATCAGTCAGTAAGCTAAAATGGTAATAAGCCGGCCATTTTATTCATTTATTTACTTATTTTATTTTATTTAGCTTTAAAGCTAGCTCTAAAGTAGCCTCGTACTGATAAGTGGAGTGGCATAATAGATGGAGTGATGACCTGGTAAGACATGCAAGAAGTCGATGGATGCAGGTGACTTGCAGTTTAGACCGTGATATATGGTATTCCTTGAGGGAGACCTATGTTCAGCAGAGGACTTGTGATGAGCTGTAGTGATGATGATGATGATGATGATAATTATATGTTATTACTATTGTTCAACAAATTAAACTAACACCAGGTTCGCTAATCATCTTAACAGTCAAAGCTAATTTCTTCTTACACTCTCGTAAGATGTTGTGTTTAAATAATTCTTCACGTTGAAATCTTGAATTATCACTATCACATGATACGTCTTTTCTTTCCTATAAAGAAAAATCCTCATTAAGAAGGAAAACACGATTATAGGTTCAGGCAGACCTGCAAAGTTGCAGCTAAAACAATTTGCAGCTCAGTCCTACAAAACAGTAATAATCGAGACTAGACTAATAATAATTTATCAGTTATTGTCTAAATATTAGTAGTTAGTTATTGTATAAAAACCAACAATGAGAGAATGCAAAAATCAAGTCAAAACCATGCCTATTTTAGTGTAAGAATTTAATAGGCATGGATAATGGTTTTTGCGTCTTTCTTTTTTGGTCTGTGGTCTAAAGTAAGGCTACAGCATAAAACTAAGCGTGGGACATCATTTTTTAAGCTTTGCAAAATGCTGCTTCTGTTTAAATATTACGTCATTACCGCAGGGTTGTCACGTTTAATCAAATTTAATTCGCGCGCTCTCTGCTTTGGTGATTTCTTTTCAGTACATATTATTATGTCCTACAAAATGCAAATTGCAAATACGCCATGTGTATTCTTCTATCAGATTTCCTAATTAAATTTAAATAGCGTCTTCCACATGCTTTAATCAAAACCTGTATCTGAAATATTACAATATAACTTAGATATGCAGAAGCTACTTTGTTTATGATTTTCAGGTTTTGTAAAGATATTATTATGCCATTTATTCATAATCAGCTCCCCCAAAACCCTCGAAAACGTTACTCTTGACTCGCAGTGTGTAAAATTAAAAACTATTTTCCAATTACATTTAAAGATATTCAGTTTTTTGTATCTCTTGAAAAATTAATTTCCCTTCTTAAATATATACAGGGTTATTTTTCAAAGAGTAGCCAAATTTTAAACTTAAGTTCAAATATATAAATAATGATATACCGTTATTGAAGTTTTTGAAAATATGAGTAAATAAAGAAAAATTTTTTTTCAAATAAAAAATCTTTACGGCAACAACATTTATGTCTACCGATCGACCCTTACAAAATGTGTGCGTGCGCAGTAAAATCAGTTAAAATAAAGCATTACCACGCATTTTGAGTTTAAAAGATAAAAAGGACAGAGTTATTGAGATTTTTGTAAATAATTTTTCCTCACCATTTGCCTATATTACTTATTCTGAACCTTCTCTGGAAATTTGGCCGGTTATTGCAAAATAACCCTGTATATACTTTAATGGCGCAGGGCAGGGATTATGGTTCACGAATGTGTGCACAAGCACATGTGCACTTATTATTCCCTCACACTATATAGTCCGATGGGAGGGTAAACCGACACGAATATAGAGAGATATAGAGAGAACCAATGGCTTTGTTCGTTCTTTCTGAAGCACAGGGGTGAAATACTCCAGGTACTCCAGGGCCAATCAGAATTTCTTGATAGAAAATCCATATGATTTTGAGTACGATCACACCTATCACTCAAAGGTTAAAGAACTGTCCTTGGTTGAATGTACTTTTATTTCTTATTTGTTTGCAGGTAGAAGCATAATACGAGTATAAGTAGTACCAGCAGTACCAGTAGATACTTACGTAATTTTCTTCATTTAGATTATATTTTACATTTAAAATATTTTTTTAATATTAAAGGCAAAACGGTGCCTCACTGTAGTACCAATAATTGGTGATTGAGCTTGCTTATTTAGGACAATCTGTTATCTATAGTATCCTTTTTTTTTTATCCTTTTTTTTTTTAAAAAAAACGTTACCCCCACACTAGGATTTTCTCCTGTATCGTGGAGGCAGTTTACAAACACAAATTTCACAAGGACAAACATCCAGACCCGGAACAATCATTTGTAGGCCATACAAATACTTGTTCCGTGCGGGATTCAAACCCGCACCCCCCAGCGCAGCAACTCATTGCTAAGCCACTGCGCCACGGAGCCGTCATATATAGGAGTATGGGAACCAATTGATGACTTCATAAATTCGGAAGCAAATGCGTTGTGAATTAATTTATTACGGCCATTTTGTTGTTTTTACAATACCAAACACAAGCGTATAATTTACCCAATAATAATAAGTACATGCGTACCGTCTTACTGAATCGATGAGCTATTCATTTCCCATTCGGGCAACAAAACGCATGCACGGTGCATGGGTCTATTTGTTTATCACGTGCTACGCGTAAGTTCTAGGAACACACCTATGAACATATCTAGTATATATATTATATATCATCATCTCTAGTATATATACAGTAATCTATGCCAATGAACACACTGGTCTTACGCGTGGGTTTACGTACGAACATTCCCTCCACCTTCCACGCCGATCTAGACATCGCAGATCGACGTTGCGTCAGACGCATGTGATTGCATAGTTTTTCATACAAAATCATGAGTCCAAACGTGCATACGTTGCGTACGTGGGACCATTCTGTCTCTACCTTAAAACTAAATATGTAGACATACGTCATTATTTTAAAACTTACGTCAAGCTCGCAATCAATAAACACTGCTCTGACCTCAACATGGGAGCCATCTTCATTAGTAATGTCATGAATATTGCACAAAATAAAATAAAATAACGATGCTTTTAGCAAACTACCTGAAACACCGCAAACTTATCTATGTTTGGTAAACATTTACAGCAAATATTACATACAATAACAAGGCGGTTCTAACAGACTTACGGAAATAAACATAGGCAGGATTGTGTGTATTTAGTACTACCATATTCAATCTTGACTAAATGAATTTAATTGAATGAATAATTATTTAATAGCATAAAAATTGTTATTTTACACTTTTTAATGATAGCCCTTCATCAGTCACCAAAAAATGACCGTTATAATTAAACTTACTGATTATATTCTCTTTGGTTATAATTACCAAAGAGAATATAACCACTACGTTTAATAATTACTACGTTTTAGCGTTTTAGTTTTCCTTCTTTTACACTGATGACGTTTATCTAATACTTAACCACAGAACACCAATAGGTCGCTGTTGCACTACACGGTAAAATTACCGTCGAAAATGTTTTTACGATTTGTTAAAGGAAACCAGTATTTAGTGAGTACGATCGTGTGTTCTTGTGTTGTGCACTATCCGTAATTTTACTTAAACTTGTATTTTGCTATTTTGTCTGATTTTATATGATATAATAGGTCGGAGAAAAAGTTTCTACGTATTTTATATTATATAAATTCAAGACATTTACTTTCAAAGTTTAATTACATTTAATTATAATTATATGCCATTTTGTTCGATAACTTGTTGCCATCTTGTAGGTACTGACATAATCCCGTTGCTGTAGAAATCTTGGGATTTTTGATCAAAAAATGCGACTAGTAGTTTTGACACTCCTCTTTTGATGTTAACTTAACGCTACCCAAAGAATTCTGAAGAGACCGAAACAGAAGAAAATCTGGGAGTGCAAGGTCAGGACTATATTATAGTGAATGCATTAACACTTTCCAACCAAGCTCTCTCAGTTTTCGCTGATTGGCCAAAGATGTGTGTGGTCTGGCGTTATCATTATGAAAGACCACTCTTTTTCTGTTGATCAATTCCGGTCGTTTTTCTCAATTTCTTGCTTGAATCTCATTAGTTGTTGGCAGTAGGGATCCGAATCGATGGTCTTGCCCGACTATAAAAGCTCATAATAAACAATGCCCTTCCAATGTCACCATACACACAGCATCACCTTATTGCGTGTTAATCCGGGTTTGGCTACAGTCTGTGGAGCTTGACTCGTCGAGCACGTTCTTGTCGTTGGTTATCCACTATTCATCACCAGTGATCAATCTTTTCAAAAATGGTTCGTTTTCATTACGTTTTAATAGAGAATCGCAAATGAGTACACGATTCATTAGGTTTCTTTCAATAAGCTCGAGTGGTACCCAAATATCGAGCTGTTTTGTATAGCCAGACTTTTCAAATGGTCAAAACTGTTTTGTGGTCAGTCCTCAATTTCTCTGCTATGTTGTAACTACTAATATACCGATCTTGCTCCACTTTCGAAAACAGCATCGACTTTATCCGTATGAGGGCGACCAGAGCTGCATCTTTGACATCAAAATTCCCGGACTGAAAACGCTTGAACCAACTTTGTGCTACTCTTACTGACACTGCATTAGGTCCATAAAAGTCACAAATTTTTTTAATGGCTTGAGTCGTATTTTTCTCTCTTTTGTAATAAAACTTCATAATGTATCGAATTTTTTCGTTAGATTCACTCATTTTGGCGGACAGAAAAACAATTGAAAAATAGCGGGTGTTTTTGCTTTTTATTTTTCTTTTTATTAATGTCCTTTATATTAAAGTTACAGCATATATACGCCCCACTGCTGGGCACAGGCCTCCCCTTATTTCTGAGAGGGTAGAGGGTTTTAGGGCAAGAACGTGTCCGCTGCGCGGCCCCAATGCGTGTTGGCGAAGTTCACATGTCTTCGAAATATTTTTTTCTTATTTCTCAGTCATGCAGGTTTCCTCATCATATTTGCCTTCACCGCTGAGTACGTGGTAAATCAGCACTTAAAATTGCAATTAATAATTTAATTGGTGCCGGCGGGGATCGCACCCGGTTTGCTCGCATGCTGTGTTTACAGATAGCGCTAACCATCTGAGCTACCACGGCTACTACTCGTATAGTGCTATGTATGTTCTGATATTGAAACCAGCCAGATATAAACAGTACAACCAGAGATTTATCTTCAACTTTATACAAACAAAATACGAAGAAACATTTTCCCCGACCAATTATTACTTTTATATCCTATGTTTATATAAAAAAAAATCCCGTCAAAAATTTATTCAGATTCTGGAAAAAGTGGTAGGAACAAGGTCTGATGAGTACGGAGGACGACGGAGAGCTTTCAACCCTAGCTCTTGTAACTTGGAGAACGTCTGTTGTGCAGTATGAGGTCGCGCGTTGTCGTGCAGAAGCAGCGAGGACGAGCGATTGACCAAAGCTGGTTGAAAACGTGCGAGCCTCTCTATCATTGTGTTCAATTCTTTACAGGAGACATGTGCAGTAATGCTCATCCCGTTTGGTAAGAAACTGTGAAGAATCACACCGGCGCTAGACTACCAAGTGACCATCACTTTTCTGGGGGTAGGTTTTCATTTAGGGCATTGTTTAGATGGTGACCCAAGATCCAGCCAACTTACTGAGCGCTTCCGATTGTCAAACAGAATCCATTTTTCGTCGCAGGTAACAAACAATGCGGTTTAAAATTCCTTCGTTTTTGTGCCTGTTGAGCAGTGCAAGGCACGTCTCGACGCGTACTTCGCGTTGGCGATCATGGACTTCGTGGAGTACCCATTTGTCAAGCTTTTTTACCTTGCCAATTTGACGCAAATAAACCCATATTGTTTTGATGCTAACGTCGAAAACTGCTGCTAATTTAGCCATAGATTGGGTATCATCAGCTTCTACAATCGCCTTTAATTCGTCATTGTCGACAGCTGTTTTCCGAACGTCAAAGTTTTCCGAAGACAACGGGGTTCATTTTTCAGGTCGAAATTTCTAGAACGGTACGGGCAAACCAATAACAGGTGGTGCGTTCGTTTATTCGCTACGTAAACGTCGTTGGTGTTGCGTGCCGCTTGTGTCGCGTTGCTGCTACGACGGTACTCATATTCCATAATTACTCGAATTTTTAACGTATCCATGATGACGAAAATGATTCAAAAGTGATGAAAACATAACGCTAATCAATAAACAAATGACTAATTTTGAAAAAAGAATTCCATGTTATTAAAATAAAATTAATTTGCAATTAGAATTTTTAGGCAAACAAATATTATTTTGATTCGAAATTATCAGTAGTTTCATAGGTAGACCTATTATTTGATTTTATTATTATTATTATTTATTTATTGGTCGCCACACAGAGTCAGTTAATCTGATCAGTTTCACTGACTGAATCTCATAAACTGACCAGTTTAACTGACGTACACCAAAAATTGACCGTGAGTGAGAAATCTTAAGTTGAAATTTTTAGCTGACGACAACCCACGGATTTTTCGGGCGTACTGTTAGTTAAGCTGCTCAGTTGAACTAACGTACGTCGAAAAACTGATCGTGAGTGTGAAATCTTAAGTTCAAATTTTTAATTAACGGCAACCCACGGATTTTTCCGAGTGCACCGTAATGCGCTTGCTTCAGTTCGTTTCAATTATTGGTAAGTACATACTTACTTTCTTAGGTGACTGTTATGACCTCACCTTTTTGATAGTGCAATCCGAAGGTGGGTATAAGATATCAGTGACGGCTTCAGATAAAACGATCGTGTTTCAACTCATTTGAAAGGTCTCATAAAGACATAGGTGACTGTTATGACCTCACCTTTCTGATGGTGCAATCCGAAGATGGGTATAGGATCTCAGTGGCGACACTCGATAGAAAGATCGTGTAATAGTAAAAACAATATTATTACTCACTTTATTATGTTTTCAGGCAATGAAAAAACCAGCAAAACTCCCAAGTAGGTACATAAATATAAATCTGCCATATATTTATAAAAAACAAGGCAGAACGGAGAAAGCATAACCAACTACAACCAGAAGACGAAAATATCTGCGTACTTCAATAAAACCTATAAGCACCTTTAACACCAATTCCTATAAATGACCAAGTTACCTGGTCTCAGTATTTAGAATTTAATGAATTTTGACTGGAAGTAAGATTTTTACATTTAGTAAATGAAACAATGTTGTACTCAATGATTTATTACACGAATTCTAGGAATATACACATATAATAAAACAAATTTTTCGGATTTTATTTTGTTTAATTTAACTTATTTTAATTCGTGACGTTTGGGTGCTTCAACTTTATTTTAGAACTAGCTACATCCCGCGACTTCACCCGCGTGTAATTTAGGGTTTTAATTATGTTGCGCGGAACCCTAATTCTTTTTCTAAAATATAAGTTACTCCTTATAACATCGGCTATCTGCCACTGAAAGTCCCGTCGAAATTGGTTCCGCCGTTTCGGAGATTAGCCGGAACAAACAGACAGTAAGAAAGACAAAATTTAAAAAATTGTGTTTTTATTATAAGTACTGTATATATTTTCATATGCATTTAGTAAAAAGATTTTATATTGATATTACAAACAGACACTTCAATTTTATTTATTTATATAGATGTAACATGTAGCGTGCTCAATTAGATAAACATAGAAAGCTAGGCCATCCTAACTATTTCCGATACTGAAAACCGATAAGCATTATCTGGTCATCATAAGACCTCCAGAATGTGCCCATGCCCACGGATTTTTCTGGGCGCACCGTAATACGCTGGCTTCAGTTCATTTGCATCATTCCAACTGACCGTGAGTGAGCTTGCTTATAGCAGAGCTCCGTCATTTGTCTCGCGTTATATATGGCATATTCCGGGAGTGCAAGTATCAGTGGGGTGTCGCACGCTCTACAGATGGGTAACTAAATATTTAACAGTTAAATATAAATAACACATTGAATAAATAAATAAAATTTACTACAATACATAAAATTATCATAATATATCAGATATTATGATAATTTCTTAAAATTGTCTTAATACTTATCTCATCATGGATAAAAATATCTTT